GCACAATGGAAGGGGGGAAATGGTGGGTTCTTTTGAGGTTGAAAAGTGTGATCAGTGGGAATAAGAGAGCAGGAGAGTTAGCACATAAAGGGGGCTTTTGCCTCAGTAGATCGAGACAATTATAGGGACTGGTCAGACTGTAGTTCCTTATATACCAGGAAAGAAAGCATTCAGCCAGCGAGGAGGTTGGGTCTAGTGTCTGGGGTGGGCAAAGACCTCATGATCACAACCCCAGGGACCTAACTGAACTCACACTTTTGCCAGTTTCTTTGTTTCATCCCAAGATGAATAGGGATGCTGCGTGCTCAGAAGATCTCCTGCATGTAGAATGTGCGGTTGGCTCTGATTGGGCCTCATGCTAAGTGGTTATATTACATAATTCAGTGAAGCAGGGCAAAGCAGGCAATGAGTCCACGAGTGGCGATAGGTTCAGGGTGAAGATATTTCCAAATCTAGTGCCTGGGCACTTAGGTAGTAAAGTAAGGCTTAGGTATTGTCACTTAGTAATTTTAGTGACTCAAGGTATTTCTTCTGCAAAAGGGCAGTAGCTTCTTGAACAAGGAGTCCTCCAAATCCAGTCATTAGGAGGAATAATGCCCCACTTTCTCCTGCCTCGTGATGGAGAAGTGAGGATGGGGGTCTTGGAGAGGGAGTCTTAGTGTTGGCAGTGGACCCCACCTGCACAAGAGTCTTCAGGGCTGATGGAATACTGATGGGAAAGGGGAGATCAATGGAGTGTATTAAAAACAGGAGAATGTGAAACTTCAGATTATTTGGTCTAGCCTCTTTAATTGGTATTGAACTGACATTTTTCTTTCCATTGTAGCTTTTCAAGTTCCAATGAAATTTTTTTCTGAGTTGCTTTCATGGTAGAAGTAAATCATCACATTTGAATTTCCTAGTTGTAAATTTGCCTCCTTACTACAGGGGTGTTTTTCCTAACTTGAGCTCTAAATATAATTTCTTTTTTTCAATTATGTTTGAAGATACTAATCATATCAAGATTTTTGCAGACAACATTAAATCTAGGTAAATTTAAAGTTTTTATAACCAGAATTTTTAAGTTCACTATATGATAATTTTAAATAATTAAATCGATTATATTTTAATATTAATTTTAAAAGAATTAAAGTAGTTTGTAGAGAGAACTGAATCTTCATACCCACTTTTAAATGTCTTTACCTTTTAGGTAAGTATACCAATTTATTGAAAGCCTACTTATCAATAACTGTTTGTAGAATATTTGCAGAAAGAAATTTAGGGCTTAAATATATACAATTCAAAATCTTTTTTTCCCTGTACAAAAATAATAACCATATTTTCAAGTCGTGGAAAAGTTTTGTCTTTCCAGTAACTATTAAACCATCAATCGACAAGTACTTACTGCCATTCTGCTGGTTTTATACATTTGTTGTAAGTATTTATATATTTACTTTAGAATTTAGTTTTTGTATGCTTATAACATTATATTTTTCTCATTGCTTTTTATGGGCATAAACAGATACGAGATCCAAAAACACTTCTTCCAATGCCAGGAATCATGGTCGGTGACATGGGGAAGAAACTCGGACAGAATGGTTTGGACAATGGGTAAGTGAATACATCCCATCGGAGAAGTAAAGTTTGGTCCTACTTGGAATCATGTGTTTAAAATTATTTATGAGTTAAATTCTTACTAGAATCCTAAGGCTCCCCTACACTACGCCCTCTTCCCCAGCAAATAAAATAAAACAAAACTGAGACCCAGAGTTTGCAGAGTTAGGACTAGAACTCAGATCTTGTGATTCCCAGTTTCATCAGCGTGGAAAGAGTGCTGGACCTTTGTGACCTTGGATAAATCACTTTGTCTTTTCTGAGACTTGATTTCCTCCATGTGTAATATGGGGTATGCATTGCACTATCTGCCTTACATTGTCATGCGGAAAGTACTATGTAAGACTTACAATGCTGTCTAAGTTCTGTGTGGAACTAGTGGCATGGGAGCTGTGCTTTGAAGGAATTGCATGATTCCAAGACATTTGAGGTGAGAAAGGAGTATATTCCAGGCATGGGGGACAGTTAATGCAAAAAACACAAAGACTGGAGAAAGAATTTGGAAATGGGGAGCACAGCTAAGAGGCTAGTTTCTCTGTGTCATAGGTAGCATGAATAGTAAATAAGTGAAATGAGTTTGGAAAATACAAATAAAAGATGGGGGAGGTTTGGCTAGCAGAATAAGCACCCTTTGTCACATCAAGGATATATCAAGTCAACAAGCATTTTGTAAGCACCTACTGCATGCCAGGCCCTATGCTAAGCCCTAGAGATACAAAGGATAAAAACAATCCTTACTATCAAGGAGCTCACGGTCTAATGGGGGAGACAGCATTCACACAACTATGTATTAAAAAGATGTATACACAGAACTAACTGGATATAATCTCAGAAGAAAGGCACTTGCAGAATGTAGGATTTTGGCTAAGACTTGAAGGAAGCCAGGGCAGCCAGGAGGTAGAAATAAGGAGTGAGAGCATTCCAGAATCAGAGTCAGCCAGTGACTGTGCAGACAGTCAGGAAATCTTAGGGTCTTGTGTAAGAATAACAGCACAGATGTCCATGTCACTGAATCGCAGAGTCCATGGAAGAGAACAAGAAGGAAAAAGACGTTTGAAGGTATAAAAGGGCCAATTTATGAAGGGCTTAAAAAGCCAAATGGAGGATTTTATATTTGATTTTGAAAGTAATAGGGAGCTGTTAGAATTTGTTGAATGGGGATGGGAGTGGGCTGAAGTGGTCAGACCCGTACTTTAGGAAGATTCATTTGACTCAGGAGGAGAAGAGAGACTAAAACGGGGAGAGACTTGAGGCAGGGAGACCTGTCAGAAGTACATGTCTCTCTTCATGTTCTGTCTTTATGTCCAACCTGCTAACACTCAGCAAATACTTCTCCATTACCTTCTGTGTGATCTGGGCAACTGACGTTCTTAATGCACTTATTTTTTCCTGTATGGGTTGGTAGGGAACGTATATTAAAAAAAGAAGATTGAATCAGTCAATTGAGAAATGACTAGTACATTGTCTTGAACTTCACTGGTGTCCTTATGATGTCTGGAGAAAGTGAGATAGCCCCACAGCATTGTGGGTAGACCCTCCATAGTGGAGAGAACATCTACATTGATAATATCATATCCATTTGAGTCTTCATACACTACCTTTTCACCGGAATCAATATGTAAAGATCCAGTTTCACAAGAAAGAAAAATTAAGGAGTGATTCAGTGCTTGGAGTATCAGCACATTCATTCCAGGACGGGGTCCTCTATAGAGTAGGCTTCCTCAATGAAGTATGATTAAGGTTATGTTAACTCTGGTTTATGTGCTACCTTCCAGTAATATATCTCTTTTCTGGCCTTCCAGGGCCTCATCATGGTATGTAAGTGATTGTAGGGTCTTGAAGGCCGTGTTTGGGGAACACAGAAAGGTTCCAAGCACCGGCTTGATGATGGGCAGACCAGCAGAGCTCAATGCAGAGAAGGCCTTCTATAGGAAGAAGGCTGGTGACCAGCTAAGGAGTGTTTTCAGTTCCAGTAACTTCAGAAGACAATCTGCTCAAATAAAGAGGGATTAAGATCTGCACTGGGGAAGGGAATCCCCAGGAGCACCCCAGTGAGTGGCTATTGTGCAAAGTGATTGGCCCCTTTCATTTGCTTTCCTTCTGAAGCCAGATTGCCCAGGCTTGGACAGAGACCAAGGAAAGGTGATTCTTTTCCTCAGTATCACTGGGCTTTTTGTTCCACAGTTATTGTTTGAGCCTGTAACATAAAGACAGGGAGGGCTTGATGCTGAGGCATAAAATACTTTTTTTCCCCTGAACTTTTATTTTTGCCAATTAACAAGCATTTTACTTTCTCTCCCTCCCACCGCCATTGAAAAAAAAAAAGAAGAAAAATAAAACTCTGGTAACAAATATGCGTGAGCAAAATAAATTCCCATATTGGCCATGTCTGAAAATTTATGTTCATCGAGTGTGCCTCCTCTCTGTCAGGAGGTAGACAGTGTGCTTCTTCATTGGTCTTTGGGAATCCATTGGTCATTGCACTAATCAGAGTTCTTAAGTCTTTCAGCTTTGTTTTTACAGTGTTATTGTATACATTGTTCTCTTGGTTCTGCTTACTTAACTTCATAAAATACTCTTTCCAAATTACGTTTGAGATTCTTGGACATTAACATTGTGCAAATACTATTTTTTTATTCACTTTTCTTAAATTTAAATTTTATTTATTGTTTTTATATGGCCTTTCAGCTTTTCATTATTTCCAAGGATACAGATACCTACTAGCTGTGTGACTCTTGGCAGCTCATATAACCTCTCTGAGCCTGTTTCATCTACTGTAAAAGAGGGATAATGATAGCACTTATTTCTCTCCCAGGGTTATTGTGAGGATTAAATGGAATCACATATATAAAGCTCTTTGCAAACCTAAGTGCTTTATACATGTTAGCTATTATTATTATTGTTGTTGTCATTGTTATTGTCATTATCATTCAGAAGCTGACACACTCATTTATAGTAAACCCCTTCAGTGCTCCATGGATCTTTGATTTCATTGTACTCCCACTCCAACAGCCCTCTTTACTGCTTAGTAGGCAGTTTGGTTTTTTTTTTGAGTTGCTGTGATGGGAAAAAATATCATGGAGAATCCTGCCTTCTAGTGATGAGCCTGTCTGAACTTAGCTAGATTTGTTTACAGGCAATAGTTATTGAGGCCTTTATTGGGCCTGACCCAAGATTTTCCAGTTGGATCATATCTGCCAACGATAATGCTCTGCTGGAATAGCTTTTTTTTTTTTTTTCTCTAAACTCCAAGGGCATTTCTACTCCATGAAAGCTATTGGGAGGAGACTTTAGCAAAGAATAGTAAATTAACAAGATGTAATGGGTTCTTATTTCTGTAATCAGTATTAGAACAAAGACTGTTAGAGTCAGAAGGAATCTAGTTCAACCCCCTCAATTTACAGAGGAGAAAACTGAGGCCCGGAGATGGAGAGTGACTTGGCCAGTTTTGTACAGCTAATTATTGGCAAAACCAAGACTGGAAGTCATGTTTCCTGACTTTAATCTGGTGCTTTTTCCATCAGACTATATATTGCCTCTATTTGCTTTCCTATTTAAAAAATCAACATCTTGTGAATTCTTCATTAAAAAACATTCAGCTTGATTCCACCATACTGCCATTAAACTGCCTTGTCTGATGGGTGACTATTTGATGGGTTTTTTTTTTTCCACAAAATCACTAAATAAGATTATTTAAAGTAAGTTGCTTTTTCATTTATTCAATTAGCAACATATAACATTCGTTCAACAAATAAATTCATTTACATAGCAACAATTTACCATATTGCTGTAGAGCATTAAGGTTTATAATGCTTTTCTTTCACAACAGTCTGGGAAGGTAGGTAGTACAAGTCCCCATTTTACAGATGAGGAAACTGAGGTTCAGAGAAATTATGTGACATACATGGTCACAGGTAGAATTCAATCCTAGGCCTTCTGATTCCAAGTACAATGCTTTTTTCTCTATTTTTATTAGTTACTGAAATAAATTCTTCCAGTCACTGGGAGAAATATGGAGTTAAGTAAGTACAGGCCCTGCCCTCAAGGAAATCCTTTTCAAGGTATCTTCTTGGCCAGATTTCTTAATTCTTTGTTGTCTATTGGCTTTGCGGTAAAGCATTAGAGGAAATTTGCTTTTTTTTATCTAGGAATGGGAAACAAGATAAAATTATGTATGTGTCGAAATAAAGTATCATTCAGTTCTTTCAGTCTCATGCTGATTGTGGCTTCTCATAATTAGCTTTCTGTCTTTATTCATTTCCCTTGGAGGGACATTATTACTTCCCAAATTTAATTCCATTTTCAATAGTACACACTCCCCTTTCCTGCTTCTCCCTCCACTCTGCCCTAATGATGTGTCTCCTATCTGGAATGACTCCAATGTTCTTTTCCCTCCTGTTTCTCATATATATGTAGGAGAGTGTGGTGGAAAGAACCTTGGGCCAGTAATCAGTTATTTTTCTTTGTTTGCCATTGGCTAAAGAATCTTTGGCAAGTCATGTTTTTTTCTCTGGGCCTCAGTTTCCTCATCTATTAAATTAGAGAGTTGGGAAACATGGTATCTGAGACCCTTTACAGTTAAAAAAAAATTGTGCCATTCTCTTCCTCTCTCTGTTCTGTTTAGGAAAAAGCCTGCACATGGGATCAGATGTCCAAGACCAGAGGTGTGGTCTTGAGGCCACAGGTTCCCCACCCCTGGCCCAGGTCTTTTTTCACACTCAGTTTCTTTATCTTTAAAGTGGAAAAACTATAATCAGACCACTCCCTCACAGGATCGTTGTGAACAAAGTACTTTGTAAAGCTGAAAACAATATATAAATTTTAATTCCGATTTTACATTTAGGACTAGAAGGGTCCTCAGAAATAATACAGTACAACCTTCCCAGTTTTATGGATGAGGAAACCAAAACCTCGGGACGTTGATTAACTTGCCCAGAGTCACTCAAGTAGTCAGTAGCTAAGTCAGGATTTGAACTTCAGCCCTTTGACTACAAATC